GGACACCTGATGAACAAAGAGCTCTTAACCAGTTATTGAGAATGAGTGATGTTATTCTTCTGACTTCTGATGAGGTTATTGCATTTATCCTTGATAATTATTATGATCTCCTATAATTGTTTGCTTCAAGGTTAAGCTGTACTATTTCTAATATGATGTCATATAGTTACTCTTTCTTTGCTTTATAATCTATAAAACTCGCCTTTTGTGTGTGTGTGTGTGTGTGTATTTCATTGTTTTGCACTTTGCATTTAGATGTGCAGCTAGTACTCCGTGTTTATCTGTCCCCATCTCTCAGTTTCTTGTTTTCATATTAAGGACTTTGTTATCATATTCTGTGTTTTAGCACCTTCAGAACCTTATGCAGTGTTTACACCATTCCTCAAATATGGACATATGTTGTCCAACCTTTTTTGTATGCTGTACATATTTCTGCTAGCATAATTATGGACGCTTTCACCTTACCAAATTGTATTTTTTCCAAGAAACTGTATCTATCTGGAATCTTTAAAAGTGTTGTGTAGTTTTGCAACTTTCAGTTTGCTTCACTTGTTCTTTCAACCTAGGTAGCAAAATTCATATCAAACATTTGGAAGTATGAAGAAAAGCATAATCTTTAATTGAAAGTAATCCTGATAATTCATTTGCTTGTGTCAGTCTATTGTTCGTATTTCAGAGTCCTTTGGAGCTTGTTTACCATCTGTATTTCTCAGGATAAATTTGAGCCTAAATCATAATGATTAGCCGGTTTTTGCACAGTCCAAACCCATACCTACTGATCAATGATAACACACCTTTCCTGCTTGCCCACCAGACCCCCACCATTCTGTTGCCAATCCCTTTCCCCTATTTCTAAACCTTGGTTTTGGTAAGGTGCTTTCACATTATTATGTAATGGCTTTGTTTCACTTGAACAACATTTAGAATTCAATGTATTTGATAAGTTAAAATGTATTTTCCTTTCTCACTGAGTCATTGATTGTCAATTATTTGCATGCTAACTTTTCCTATCTCTACAAATTTATTCTACATTATTGATGGATGAGTCAAGACTCAACACCAGTAGCTTTTATCCAATCTAGTTGACAACTACAAACTTTAATGATAGCCCACTAAATATGTTGGAGATCCCACATCAACTAAACAAAAGAGCTCTAACTACCTTTTATTTAGTTTGCATTCATATTGCAACACTCACCCGTCAATGCCCTACTCAGTCACATGGGTAACTTGTTCTTACAGCTTTCACAAAATGTTTTTTCTCCAGTTTTTTTTAACTTTAGTTACTTGTGTGGTCCTTATAAATCTGCCTCCAGAATATTTGTCTACCATAGATAGGCAATGCAGATGAAAAATAGTTTGATGTCGCCATTAGGTGGCCCTAAGTTTTAATTTTTAAGCACGACTGGCAGCTCCGCAAAATTGTTCACAACATATGTTTCTGAATTGCCTTAGATCCTCTATTTCAAAGTCTCATATTTTAGTAAATTTGAATTTGTGGTGCCCTATCCTGACTCCAAAAGGGCTTGTCTCTATCTTTGTTAATCTGACATTACCAAGTATTATGAAATTCATAGGCTTGAGTTGATCAGATTATCTAAATCATGCCACAATTTTTAGTTTACTTTTGTTGTTAGGCCATATGTTGTCAAACTTCCTGCCTAAGCAAAAGACTTTTGGAGTTTACATTTTTTGCATGGCAATCTCCCAAGTCGTGTACAGAAGATATTGGTTGTCTTATTCCCATAAAACAATAACGTGATGCAAATTAAGTTGCTTTTTGTTTCTGCTATTTGTTGTTTGGCAAACTACTTTCTAATTTAGGTCATCTTTGATTTTATTGTTTTGCATGACAGGCCGAGTCATTAACTGGCATAGAAGATCCAATATTAGCAGGGCAGGAGTTTCTCAAAAGAGGAATCCGCACGAAATGGGTGATTGTAAAAATGGGTTCTAAGGGTTCAATTATAATAACGGCATCTAGTATAGCTTGTGCACCTGGATTCAAGGCATGAGCTTCTCATTCTAATCTTCATTGCCTCTTAAATTCTTGCAAATTTTGGAACATAATATTTTTTTCCTCTTGATATACTGCCATATTCTGCTTAGCCATGCTTTGACCCACTTTGGTATTCAAGTTTCATATATTATCAGCTTAAAGGTGAATATCTCAGTTAAGGGCAAATTAATCAAATGGTTCAAAACTACGTAGTAACCACATTTTATGAACATTGTGGTTTCTTCAACTGGAAGATTTTTTTTCCCTTAAAAGAGTCAAACATGCTTTTCTAACGTCCTAATATTGAAGGAATAGTTAAGCTCAACTGTTTGGTATGCTCAAAGTATATGTTGTTATTTCTTCTTTGATTGTTCAAAAGTGCTTGTCTCTTCCAATGATATTTAAGAAACTTGTCTGACAACTTTTTTTTTTTCCTTTGACAACCTTTACCATTGTTATAAACTAATTGTAATTCTGAACTGTTATCAGGTGAATGTTATTGATACTGTTGGTTGTGGAGACAGTTTTGTAGCTGCTATTGCCTATGGTTTTATACATAATATGCCACTGGTTAATACATTGGCAATTGCAAATGCAGTGGGTGCTGCTACAGCCATGGGCTGTGGTGCTGGTAGGAATGTAGCAACACTAGAGAAGGTAGTAGACTTAATAAGATCATCAAACATCAGCGAAGATGATGAATTTTGGTTTGACATACTTGAAAAGAATGTGGTATCTCAGGAAATAACATATCTGTCAAATGCTATGAACGGAAAAAGAAACCATCTCAACCTTGTCTCATTTGACAAAGTTGTCTCTGAAATCTTGCCCAGGCTTGATCTTCAACAAACAGTAGGGAATGTGTCAACTTGATTGATTGTGGAAAAATGGGTTGCAACCACTGATATCTGTTCATGTAAAAGAACTCTTCTGATTCTTGGGTTCTTAGCTTCATTCTGTAAAAGTTAAAGCTTAAGCATTTAGATAATGGAGTTTTATAACCCAACAGGGTTACATAAATTGCCGTAGCTAGAATGCTTTGGCAAATACATGAAAGGTAGCTAGCTTATCATCAAGCATTTTAACTGATTTGTGGCATTTCAGTCTCAACGGTATTCCCTTAATTTTGATTTCAAAGGTATATTTTACTCCACGAACCAGTGGAGCAGAGCTGTTATCCTGAGATCCCAATTTTTTGCTTCATGTTCTATGTTTATGATTTTCAAACAGTGATTTGTAATAGTCTCCTTATTTACATAGTTGATTTTTGACACGAAAAGGCTGTTTGTATGCACTCTAATATATTACTTTGCAATATCTTGTTTACATTTCACCCTTAGAATTTTGTTTCCCTCTTAATTCAGTAGATTCAAGTACGTGACAAAACAATGGTATTTTGCACGCCGTAGTAGTAAAACCAGACCATCGACTCCTCTCTGCATCGGACTCTGATCATATTGATTTATATTAACTGCAAAATTTTACCTTTAATAAAGAAAATCACATCGAAATGGTTATAGTTGCGTTCATTTGGGTTGTCGGCTCTATTGGATAACATTTGTTGAAAGGAACGGGAGGAGAGGTTTTATACTAATTGAAATAAATTTTCTGTCTCAGATCGGGGTCTGAGGGAGGGGAGGTTTTATGGTAATTAAGTATTTTAACCTAAATGATTTTATTTGTCTACTTTAAACTAATTTGTCTTTTCTTTCATTTCTATGGAAACCAAATGATTTTTTATCGTTAGATTTAAATAATGTCTTGGTTCTTCGATAGTTTGTGAATTTTATATATAATTTTAACTAATATGTGTATTCTTTTACAACTTTTTAATTTTATTTTGTTCAAATATTCTCTATGCTACTTCTAGTTTATAACTAGCACACATAGTCACTATGTATTTCATTTATTTCTTTCAATGATAAAAAAAGTATCTTTTAACATTGAGTCACTTTTGGATGTATTTCTCCTTATTACAAGAAAATATGTTCTTAAAAGATTACAAGGATAAAAGAAGAAATATAAACTCAAACACTCCTTGTTGAGAGTACTTCACAAATGCAAAGATTTATAAAGTTATCTCACGTACTTTTGTTCTATAAGGCAATCTATTAATTTAACTCTTCCAAAATTAAAAAGCAATAACAAATGCAAAACACATCATGATTCTACATAAGGTTGTTAGATCATTTTGCATTATGGTAGTCACTTCTTGATCATTGTGTCCTTTCTTAGGTGAGCTTGTGAGCGTCCTAGAAGTCATGAGTAGATGATTTGATGGTTAAATGAAAATCAAGCATGCTTTTTCTTGGTGATGAAAAAAATTCATTTCATTAAAATTTGATATTTTTTATGATCAAAATCATGGGTGTCTTATCTAAACTATGATGGTTGGAGAAAACTAAATTGTAATTGATTAAATTATTAAAATTAGATTACCTTGATTTTATTGTCTATAATTCTATTAAATCATCTAGGTTTAAAACTATAAAATTGTGTTTTCTAGACAATAGAGAAGTGACAACTACATAAAAAAGAAAAAAAGTATGCTTTTTAACAAAGTTAAACACATTGGAATATTAGAGAAAAGAGAACAAACTGGTGAAACTCATCAACTTCATATCTAATGTGACTCTCAACGTATTGAATGTACTTAAGTACTCTTATGCAAACTTCATTAGAAGATACATGTAACAAAAGAATTTCTCTCTTCAAGTAAGCAAGTCTTTTTTTTATTTGTACGTAAATAGATCTCTATAGGTAAACACTTATTGAGATTAAATCTCATGCCCATCCTTAATGACATTAAACCCTAAGTTTGTTTGAGGTATATGTTAAAACCATCTTTATAAACACTTATTGGTCAAATATGTTGTTTGTTTAATAATGCTTATATAGACAGAATTTTTAGAAGCTTGTAAGAAAAACTCATATCCTCTAAACGGGAAAATAATTTAAGACGAAAACAAAAAAGCCTACTTTATAATGACTAGAAAGCTAGTTAAGCCCATGAAAAGAACTAGCACATTATCATATCCTCTAAATCCTATCGAGTCATTATACGAACTGTAATACAGTGAAAATATAGGAGCTGACAGGATGATGGCTGCAAGAGAACTAGTACAGCTAAAATTGAACGGTCAATGTTTACAAATGGTATGGCTCCTCATCTAAAATTGAATGTTATGTTCTCAATAGCCATAATTGGTGCCATAAACGGGTCCATAATCTGCGGAAGGAACATGGCCTGCATGACCAGCAGCGCTTGAGGGCGGAGATGGGTAGACAGGAGCACTGGTAGGATAGGAATTGTAACCTTGGTTCATTGATCCTCCCATATGTTCCTGAGTTGCACTGGCAGCTTCAGCCATGAAATTCTGCATCCGATACACACATTGTGGGCATTTCAGAGAAAAACAGCCATAATAATGACAATAACAAAAACACTCTATTCTATCCTGAGTAGCATTAACAATATTCTTTTAAGCCTTAACTACAACAGTTGTCATTCAAACCTCATGACAAACACTAGACTACAAATAAATACTTGGATGTCAAGTACATTCCCTCTCCTCGTGCGGCACTTTCTTTATACCATTCACTTATAACTTTACGTAAAAGAATGAATATTGAAAAGACAAACTTTAAGTTAAACCCAACATACTTGTATTTGAAATTAATATACCCACACGAATTAACTAGTTTGGGAGCTAGTAATGCATAAATAAAAAGACGTACCAAACAAATTTAACCATTGCCACTCCAATTACCAAAAAAAACCCAGATAGTCTATCAAACAATGACAAAAACCCTTTAAAACAAAAATACCTGCACCAGTTGTTGGGCAGCCTGTATTTGTGAAGCAGTACCACTTATCTCAACAGTCATCTCTCCAGGCACACCCCTGGTCTCCTGAATTGTAATACTTGCTCCACTGGCACGACGGATGTAGCTGATGTTTGTCCCTGATGCTCCAATAACAGCATCTGCATAGGAAAGAGGAATTTGCATGTGCTGCGTGACCTACATAGTACAAAAAAAATCATATTAAACCACAAAAAAATGTTTTAAAATCAATGTTTCTCTCTGAAATAGTCAAGCTTGGCAAAAATATACCTTAGTCACAACAGATTGTTGCGGTTGCGCACCGGATGAATGAATTCCCATGGAAGCATCTCTTCCATAGGCAGGTGGAGGACCCTGATGTAGGTGCTTGTCCATGGGAGGCAGATCAGCAGGTGGGTAGTAATTATCATAGTTATGCGAAGGGGGCATATACTGAGGATTGGGTGGGAAAGCAGGTCCACCACCACTAACAGGTCCAGGAGCTGGAAAACCTTGAGGAGGACCCCAAGGTTGGTGTGGTGGGCCATGTGGCACATTCTGGTTTGCCCGAACATCTGGCCTTTGCATCTGAAGTTTTGGAGGAAGAAAAAAATATTATTCACAAAAATGAATGGTAATAAAATTGATCCATATAACTACACAAAATACATATACAATTTACAGGAAGCCTACTCTAACGTTTTCCATCCCACCATATCATAATCAACTATCCTCAACTATAACCCGAGATTGAAAACAACATTCTGTATATAGCTTAGAGTGTTCAAATCAGACTTAATGACTTATCATGACATAATTAAACTCGTGAGATAAATTCTCTATATACATTATTAATTGGTCATTGGCAATTTTCAATTTTTGAATAAAAAACTGAAAGTAAAATGAACTGACCTGTGTTTCAAATACACCAACTATGCTGCGGTCAACCAAGAATTTCCGTAGATGAACTGCAACAAGTTCAACTGCCTTGTGAACCCCAGAGGATTCTCCTTGTATTTCGACAACACTATCATCTCGCAGGGCAAACACTGGGAGGTGTTCTGTTGTATATAATATATGATTCAGGTACCATAGTTACTAACTTGGATATCATAAATCATGCTTCTCAAATATATGGTTACTAAAATATTATTAGTTCATTACTTGACAACACAGCCAACTTTTCAAATACTAACATATGTAGCATCAAAGATTCACTGAAACTTGGGAAAATATTGAAAAGGAAAATGTGTTCATTGGCACACAAAACTAACACTTCCTAATATAGTTTACAGTGCTCGAAGGCGCACCTGAACCAAGAACACGTATGTTGCAACCTGTGGAATCTTGAAAGGATTTTATAGTGGCTCCCTGTTTCCCAATTAAGCTCCCTGCTTGAGTATCTGCCACTAGAAGCCTTGTAACAACTGTGCGTCCTGCACCTGATGCACCATCAGCAGGATGAGGCTCTACGTTGACAACCTGTTTATGAACCCTTAACAAACCATCCACAGCAGGTGGTATGGTGCGATCTGGCTCTTCTTTTGCAGAAACCATTACCTTTTAAAAGCGTAAAAAGAGAATTGAGAAAGAAACACAACATAAGCAGCTAAATTTCAAATTTTAAAGCAAGCTAATTTTATATACTTGACCCATGGCTGATTCATCACCACGTTGCAAAAATACATATCAATATTGCATCACTAGCAAAAAAAAGAAAAAACATATATGTACTATCTGTTAACCTTATTTTCATTTCTAACAATCAGTGTGTCTTTGGTTCCACAAATTAGCAACTCTACTAAACTAAATTTTCTTTAACATTATTTATATTTCTTAGGAAGAATGCATCATCCCTTAATCCAAAAATTAGCATAAACACTGAATTTAATAATTGTAAATCTTGAGAAGAATTTGATAATGATAAGTAATTAAATGAACCAAGATATATTTCAGTTTTATTAATTAGATATATTTCAGATTTACAATTTTCCCATATAGCTTCAGATCTACACATTAGATATATTTCAAATTTCATAATCTTTTTTAATTCTTATTTTAGTAACTTAAGAGTGTTCCGAGGAAAGTGTTTACTGGGAGTGTGGCAAGCCACCAATCGACCAAGTTCTGAAGTTACCAGGAAGTGAACGCTTCTTTCCACCAAAATCTGCACAGACTATTTGATTCTTAAGTCAAAAACAACGTTTCAGCAGTTGTAAATGCTCATTGTTGTTTCCTTCAACTTGAACTTTGGCACTTCAATTTGATGCCACTTTAGTCATTCATATTAGCTGACAACCTGCACACACCCATTTGATCATCGTGACAAAAGACATCTCTTTTTATATATTAACTTGTTGATTATTTATTATTTCTTGGGTTCAACTAGATTATTTTTATTTTATGCTTTTACTCCCTTGTTAATTTTTTGTTTTATTTTGATAACACAGTTTCTTAGCAATAATATTCATTTGTTAACATGAATGAAACATTATGTTTCATCTCAAATTTAGTATGTAACTTCGTTTATCAAATATATGTTTTCCACATCAAGGTACTAATCAGATACTAACAAATATAGGACTAAGCATGACGTATGATTGATTTATCAAATAGAAGCTCCCTTTATTATATTTTATAACTCTGATTCATAATGTTCGAGCAAAGAATCCATAGGTACCAACCACGGCACTATAACACTGCAGCAGAGCATCACAGGAGCTGGTGGCCACAAGAAACTCATAGTACACCACTTTGGCATTGAAACAATAGCAGCCAGATTGCATATGATAGTCAGATCCAACCTTTCTTGCACAATCAACCCCTTTTCCAGCCCATTCATTTTCCCGCCAGGTTCACCTCCAATCTCTGTTTTGCAATTCAATAAACACTTAACTGCTGCAACTTAACCACAACATACATTAACATTTTGCACAATCAACCCCTTTTCTTCCAAGCCCATTCATTTTCTTGCCAAGTTCACCTCCATTCTCTTTTGCAATTCAAAAAACACTTAACTGCTGCATCTTAACTAAGAAATATATGACTACCACTGTTTATTCGTGTAGTGTGTTATTCATAGCACATCAAATACATAAAATTCCACTATCTTTCTTGTCATGGCCCTCTGTTTTTCTATAAACTCCATTTTCCTAATTTTCTTTTAATTTCGTGTAGTTTCATTTCTCACAATGTTATAGCTCAAATTAATGGTCAATATGCGTTAGACTAACTTCTTAATTAAGAATTAAGAATATATCATCATTTTAGATAATACATTATGTTTAAGCATTTGTATATATTCTATACTATTATTATGCATTATTTATCCTGAATCAATAGTTCAGCAAAGTAACCAATCCCCTACCCACTATAGCAACTTTAAGGTAGGTCATGCAAGGCATTTCGTATTGTTAACTATACACTTATTCAATAAGATAATGGAACAATGAAGGAAAGGGAAGTTCATAAAGCCTAACGGTAAGGAGGGTGTTGAAGGAAAACCATAAATCAATCCATTCAAATAATTCTAATATTCCTAGATAGGAAAAATACATAACGTGCTTGAAACAGTTAAAATCGAACATTATCAACTGCATGAATAACAAGAAACTGAAAAATATATACTCACAGCTCTTTCCGCAGTTCCAGGGGGACCATCAAGAATTTTTATACGAGCCTTAGTCTCTTCAGTAATTTTCCTAATAAACTCGCCTTTACGACCAATAATACTGCCAACCTTTTGCACAGGAACCAACATCCTGAAAACATTTTCCCCAGGCCACCCTGGCCATTTTTTTACTTCACCTCCTTTCAACTCCTCCTGAGATTCCTGTTTCTCCTCAGAGCCTAAATTCTCAGTCATATCTCCTTCAACAAGCTGTTCCTCATCATTTTCTTGCGGAGGAAAATCAGGGTTTTCAGGCAAACCTTCTCCATCATTCCCATCAAAATTATTTTCCGGAACATCAGCATCCACGGCCAAATTGGCCTCATCATGTTCATCGGGCTGCAGTTGCGGAAACCCTGAGTCATCAATCACATTTCCTCCATCATGTTCCTCAGAATGATTTTGTGGAAACTCAGGGTTCTCAGGCACATAGCCAGCATCTTGTCCGTCAAAAACTTCTCCAGACATCCCAGCAACTACGAAACCAAATACATGAAACAACAACTCATAAGTATCCTTTTCAACAGAACACACAAATCAAATTAATTCAATGATAAAAATAAAACGGGGGTAAAGAATTCATCAATTGTTCCATCTACACACACTCATCAAGAAGAGGACTAGCTAACAACAAGAATCACCGTTCGAAATCCACAAAACCCTACAATCAAACTCCGTAACTTCCAATGTCATAAAACAAAACCCCGCATCAGCTGAATAAAAGAAAAACCCAAATCGACACAAAAGTAATCAAATCCACCGTTCATCCACACCAGAAAGAAGTGCAGAATAACAACTTAGCCGAACAAGACGAATAGAAGGAGCTCAGATACGAAAGCGAAGAGAAAGAATGCAGTTATTCAACCCTAACGAAAAGTGAAAACTGTAGAACTCGCATTTGAATATTCTAAGCGAACGAAAAAAATACTTCTAAGTGAAAACAAAGGATAATGTCGAAACCCTCACGCGAGCATAGTGGAGTTAGAGAACTTACTTTGATTCTCGAAGCTTCGGAGAACGGAGAGAAAAGAACTACGGTGGCGTTTCGATACGAAGAGAACGGTGCTGTGCAGAATTTAGGTTTTCGTAAAGGATGAGAGACGGAGACACCTTCACATCTTATTTTATTTGCTTTCCTCGCCTTTAACCTACTCGTATTCACAACTTTGGCGGTTCTTTTATTTTTTATTTTTTATTGTTGATGTTTGAATTTCTTAAAAATATTGCAAATAAATTAAATGTGTGAATAAATAATTTTAAACCTTTACTTATTTAACTAATTGTTGATAAAAAAATTAAAAACTAATATGCTAATTTATCTTCTAAAATAAGTCGTTCACCTTAGAAAACACAATTTTATTCATAAGTTAAGAAAACTGTTTTTTTTTAATTCTGTGGTAGAAATAATTGAAAATTGTCTAAAATTTGTATGAGTTAAACTATTTTAATTTTAGTCTATTACTTACTCTTTTAAACAAGACAAATTATTTAAATAGTCTTTGAATGTTAAAAAATTACGACATGCAAGTCATATATTAAGTGACTCGACAAATGATGATAGAGATCCGTATGATTTTATCTTCTAAAATAAGTCGTTCACCTTAGAAAACACAGTTTCATTCATGAGTTAAGAAAACTAATTTTTAATTTTATGGTAGAAATAACTAAAATTTGTCTAAAATTTGTAGGAGTTAAACTATTTTAATTTTAGTCCACTACTCACTCTTTTAAACAAGACAAATTATTTAAATAGTCTTTTTAAGTGTTAAAAAATTATGACATGCAGGTCATATATTAAGTGACTCAACAAATGATGATAGAGACCGGAAGAATATAAATGAGAAGTGGGGACATACTTCACTTAAAAGAAAGACTTTACTAAAACAATCATAAATTATAGTGTAGAGAATGGTAGAAAATTGAATGTTTTTAGAAATGACAAACGAAGAGTTTGTGTGAAATATTGTGGGACAAAAGGAAAATGTCTATGGTACACTTATTATGCATACAAGGTTGCCCAAAGTACATGACAATTAAGAAATATTATAAACAAGCATACTTGTAGTAAATAATTTTTGTTTAGTGACTTCAAAATGGTTAAGTGACAAGTTAGAGAAGACCATAAAGAAAATCCAAATATAAATCACACTGACCTCTAAATCAAAGTTTGTAAGAAATGGAACATTGGTGTGTCTAGGTCTACAACGTTTAGGGATAAAACAATGACATACAAGAACATTGATGGTTGTTTCAAAGAACAATTTAAAAGAGTATATGACTATGCAAATGAGCTATTGAGGTCAAATCATGGATCAACTATCAAAGTCAATGTAGAACCTAATGAGGAGAACCCAATATTCAAGAGATTGTATGTGTGTTTGAAGGCATGTAAGGACAACTTTGTATCATGTAGGCTTATTATTGGTTTGGATGGTTGTTTTTTGAAAGGGAAATATGGAAGTGAGTTGTTAACTTTGTGAGAAGAGATAATAATGACCAAATGTTACCTTTGGCATACGTTGTTGTTGAAGTGGAGAATATGAAAACATGAACTTGGTTTCTGGAATGGTTGATTGATGACCTTAGTGGTGTTGAAATTTGTTCAAGATGTACATTTGTTTTACATCAATAAAAAGTAAGTAGTATCACACCTTACCTTTGCATCTTCATGTGTTTTAAATTAATTGTCATAATTTGAATGATTAATTTGGTAGGGACTTTTGCCAATTACAACAACTTTTACCTGGTGTGGACCGAAGGTTTTGTGTGCGCCACATATATGCAAATTTTAGGAAGAAATTTTCTAGGAAAAATCTGAAACGTTTGTTATAGAAGGCAACACCATCCACACACCCTCGAGCATGGGAGACAGTGATGAGAGAAATAAAAGACTTGAATGAAGACGTGTTTAAACACTTTATAGTTATTCCCCCAAGACATGTATTCAAAACATAAAACATAGCATCTATATTAACAACTTCTCCCATTTATGAAAAACCAAACTGATTTTTTCAGGCTATTAATCTTTCTTCTTTGCCTAGCAATAGTAGTATCCTTTTCATCCACATTATATTCATTGCGCCATTTAAAAAAATTTCATACTTAAAATTCTTCATCAATCACCAAATAAAATTATCACAAATGAAAAAGTAAAACCACTCAACAAACCTTATAATTAGGGCAATCCCAAAATTGTTTCCCCTCGTTCTTAACAGTTTTTGTCACTCTTAAGATAACAACCTCCCCACAATGGCATATTTGTCTTCCAGCCAATCCTTTAGATGACCTACCACGAGAGGTCCTCCATGAGCAAGACAAACGACATTGATTCAATGACATTGCCACTTCTTGAGCTAACGCGCAAGGACAAAACTAGACATCGTGAAGCAACCTCAAACTAAAGAAATGGGAAATCTTCTTCAATGAACTCCCAACAAAAGAAGAAGACTTTGTCAACAAACTCACAAGGAGGGAAGAAGTCTTCATCAACTAAGACACACCATGCTACTGGTAACACAAAATAGTAACATTTAAACCCTAAATCTCCTAACTTCACTTTGGTATAGACTTCACTAAGAGCAACTACCTATAAGCTCCTTGGGGTACACACTACACTTAGGGTAACCACCTATAAGCTCCTTGGGGTACACACTACACTTAGGGCAACCACCTATAAGCTCCTCCTTTGTAAGCATATGTCAACAACATTGTTGCATAATAGATTTAAACATTTGTACTCTTTCCAAATGTCTTTTGTCACTTACCATACTCTTTTGCCATATCACCACACAATTAACTCCGTTTATGCAAAATTAACAAAATTGACTTTTATTGATGCACATTAAATAAAGTGTGGACGAATTTGACATTTTTTTAAAAAATGGAGACCAAGCTAACACACTAAAATAAAAATAGGGACTAACAAAACAATTAAACTAACAATAAATGCAATTATAATCGTCGTTACTTGGTTAATACCTTGTGTTGTTCCTAAAGTCCAATAGTTAAAATATGTTGATTAAAAGATCTATAACAATCTAATTTCAAAATTATTACAAATCAACTAATAAAAAAGATGTCTAGAAAATGATGAACATCTTGAACTCAAAAGTTCCTATTACAACACAAAAAATAACATATATAACAAAGACAATAACAACGATGACTTACTTACCTGTGATATGAGATGCCTTATAGAATGTAATAAGTTAAAACGGTATGCAAAGGGAAAATGGTATATTAAAATTTATATATCTAAGCTAAAGGTACTTTTATCTTTTAACACACTTACAAAAGTGAAAAAGAAATCACGAGGGTACACGGAGTAATTTCTTTCAAATTTGTATATTGTCGGGCTTTTAGTTATTAAATTTTAAGTGTTTAGGCATTTACTATTTGCACCTAATTTATTAAATACACCCTTTTTCATTTAATGTACAAATTGTAATTGATGATATTTTTCAGGTCTATATTCTATGTTGAGATTTTGAAGTTGTCCCGTCTTCAATATACGTTGATACATTAAAAAAAGTTTTTAATATGTTTTAAAATATCAAAATCAATGTAAATAATTGTATTTTAAAGGCATAATAAAATAACAACAATAAAAGTTCAAAAAAAAAAATCAAATTCAATATTTTTCTCTTGTTTACAAATTTTAAAAATTAAGACAAATTTTAAAATTAATATATATATATATATATATATGGAGTTTGCTAACGCGCGTACGAAAAAGAAACCTCTAAACCCTTACTCACATCTCTCATTCCTCTCAACCCTTTCTCTTTCATCTCTCTCACTCCAGTGTAAAACAATTTGAAAATTTTAACTCGTCACGTCAATTAGCATATTAATTTGTTAATTTTTTTATTTTATTTTATAATATATATATATATATATAATTATCTAACTATTTTCTATGTTTTTAATTTGATAAATTAAATAAGTATTACCCTTCCATGTTAAGTTACTTAATTATAATTAATAATTAAAATTTTTATTTTTATTTTTGAATGTTAAAAATTTAAAAATATAATATTATTGTATATTTACATTATTTAATTAATATTTTAAACAAATTTATATTTCAATTTTTAATATACAAAAAATGTGGGTTAGCGTGTCAGTCTATCTATTTGTCTTTTAATCCATTGATTTGGCAGGGTAGACAAGATCAATTCTTTAAGTTAAAAACATCAACACAACCTAGAAGTCTAGGTCCACATTGTTAGTTATCTAAGTATTGATAAGAGATTCACGTACAGATCATTCTTTGCTTAAAAAAAGAAAAAAATCGTATAGACTGTAGGGATATTGTGATGCAAACTATGCTGGTGACAAAGTTGAAAGAAAAAGTACAAATATAGGATGTCACTTCATATGAGAAAACCTTGTCTCAGTGCATCTAGTGCTCACACATTGCATCGAGTGAAAAACATCAAAAGACACATCGTCTAGAGATATTATAATCAATTGTATGGTCTAAGACACACATTGTATGGTCTCTCAGAAACAATAAATTCCCAAACACTCTGAAAAACCTTGTAACTATCTTTTTCCATGTCTGCCAAACCAATCAACATCTTTATAGATGATGTTTTTATCGCAAGAAAGGCCACCTGTACTAACCTTATCAAACACAAGCCAATAGAACTCTCTCTTGACCACTTGATCCGCCTTAAAGTTTCTTTTGCCTAATGGAACTTGATGATCAAGAAAATGGTGTTTGAAGGAACTATTGAACGCTGGTCTTGCTCAACCTCATATGGAAAATTATATAAAGGGAGCAAGGGATTATGGTTCAAAGAAATTCCTTTAGTGCAAATAACATCACCTCTAGATGACACATTTCCCCACTTAACCAAACCCAACCCAAACCCCACCACCACCACAACCACATCAAACTTTTTCCACCACCTTTCTTTCTAAGCCTTCTCTTTCCCCAACGTACCCTTAACCCTTTCTTTCTCGGCCTTTCCTTTCCCCCACCCAACACTTTCAACCAACCTTTTTCTTCGGAGCCTTCCCTTTCTCTAATCTCTCTTTCCCTTAGTCATTGCCTCCACCATCTTATCTTTCTTCATTCGTGTCATGATGCCTTCTCTCCCCTCCCTTTTCGATGTTTATAAATCAGGG